GTTGCTGTCTTGTTTAAAACACTGAAGCTGTCGTTGCTGTTGTGCCTTCTCTTTACCTTATTCAAATGCATAAAGAAAACATGAAATCACTGAGTGACTGTCGTTTGTGGGTATAAAAAGTATCTGCAGTATAAGGGCTTGTGAATAATTAGGTTTACACACTCCATCCTAGTGTATGAAGGTTTGTAACAATGTAGCTATGAGCTAACCCATGTGGGGTCTAAGGGAACATCCACTTCCTAAACTGCAATGCTACTGAAAAAATAGAGCAAAAGCATCAATACCCCCCCACCCACCCACCCCATCAAACCTGACCCTCACCCTCGAGGCATAGCAGTGTTTAAAAGAGGGGTTAAAGCTAAGAGGTTGCTCAATCAGCAGCAGCTTTTCTAATCCCCAAACTCTTGGAGTCACAAACACCAGACGGTGGGTTTGACTCCAATACCTCCAAAATCTGGGCTAATACTCCTGACATGTTTGCTTTAATCCCAATATTTGGCAACTGGTCTTTTTTAGCTATAATCACATGCTTTAATCCTGAATCCCAAAGTCAGCTTTTCAGCAGTACTGTTGTTTTCACATTCATTATTAGGACATCACATTGTTGAGGTTCTGTTTGTGATCTCCTTCTTCTACACCGATCCTCAGGGTGAAGCTCCCTCCACCTGAAGGAGCCAAGTCCAATCCATCTAAACGCCACAGAGACAGGCTGAATGGGGAACTGGAGCGTCTGGCCAGTCTGCTGCCTTTTCCTGAAGAGGTCACAGCCAGTCTGGACAAACTCTCCATCCTCCGTCTGAGTGTCAGCTACCTGAGGGCCAAGAACTTCTTTTCTGGTAAGTGTACAGTGTCGTAACAGTTCACATTCCCTGCCAACCTCTCTGGGAAACAAGTGTCACTTACAACAGTGCTTTTAAAAGTGGGGGGCGGTATGGGGACCTCAGAAAATTGGAGGGAAGATAAAACACTATATATACATATCTCTCTCTCTATCTCTCTCTCTCTCTCTCTCTCTCTCTATATATATTTTTTTTTTTAATGTACTCTTAATTATAAAACAATTTTTCCACAACTGTACAACAGGTAAACTGAACACACCTCATGTGACAGCTGTAACTTCCGCATGACAATGTGGAACAGTTATAATCTGTGTACACCTTTTGGTTTGTGCCTGTTATTAAACTGCTGTGATCCTCAAGGTAGTATATACCTAGCTAGCGCAAAGTGGACAGATTTCATTGGGAAAATACAGTGCTAAAACAAAAATGTTTGATACTTTTTCTTTTAGCTAAACAAATGTTATAATGATCGAATAGTGAGTAAAAGTAAGAACATGCATTTTAAAAGATTGATGTTTCTTTACATATTTTGTAGCATTGTCCGTGGGTTTGCAAAGTGGGTCTGCGGCCAGAAGCTAATGCTGTTTGAGGGGCCTTGGCATGGAAAAGCTTTATAACCCCTGACTCAAACCACAAAGATTCAAGTGAGATCGCAGAAACTAATTCACCTTAAAATTAACATTCAAGTCAGAGGCAATACCTCAGAACAACAATGTTCCAGATAAAGAATTTGCAACAGTGTGAACACTGTGCTTGTTTCATAGTGAGCAGTTCAGCCTGTTCTGTATTTACACTGGGCATGTTTGGGGGCACAGAGCTCAATCACATCAACTTAAGATAAAGGGAACATCATGGAGGGGGGAGAACCAGCAGTCACAACCTCTATCTTATGACTTCATACCAGAGAAAATTCCTCAATATTTAATCAAGACCTAAATCTACCTACGTGCATGAGTGAAGAAGATTGGGTGGTAGAACGTGTGTGGTTTCCATTAAAACCAGTAGCAGAAGCTTTAGGAGAAGGTTGCATGCCACCAAATGACCTGTGCTGAGTTTCCTCTTCTATGCAGAGCGAAGACATTGTTATTTTAAGCCTTGATCTCTCAAAGAGAATGCTGCAATGCGGCCGTTAGATGCTCTCCAAGCATAAATAATTGAGAAAACCCCCTTTGAGTCTAAAGAATTTATGAAATGGAAGGAAGACAAATGTTTGTTTAAGGCAGCGGCTCCTTTAGAAATGGCTGTTTGGTTTGTGATGGACAGGAAACAGCAACTGCTGATATCAGCGTATGATTTTTTACTGGATTAAGCAAATACATTTTACGCTCCTCTGGCCACTCTTGTTCATATGTCAAAGACACAAAACACAGTCGCTCAGGTGTGAATTATCCTCCGCCATCGCTCACGGTTATTATTTCCATTCTGGAACATATGGCAGAATTTCTTCGGCACAGCTCAACCTGTCAGAGTGAATTATTAATAGTGGACTTTGGAAGCGTTAGGTCAAAGTGGAGCCTACAGACAAAAATCTTTTGTCTAACTGCATTAGCCTACTTCCTGGACAGTCTCTAAGTAATTAACAAGCTCAGGGCTATTGCATTAAGAATATCGGCTCCGTGGAAAGAGGACGCGCTGCGGATCCCTGAGGGATGCTCGTCAGATAACCTCTGTGGCTGTAAGCTGTAATTTGTTGTATGTAAACAACACAAATCCTGCTTGTCATAGGGATCTGCTGGGTGGGTGGTCCACAGAGCCATGACTTAGCTCCAGCACACTCTGGGAACGCTGCCACCACTTAAACACTGCGTTGTTGATCCATTGTTTGAATGTTCTGAGGAAGTGTTAGACACCCCACAGGGCCTGCTTCATTAAGTATTAAAGTGCTTTAGGTTTTCTTTGTGCAGTGCAAAGGTGCTCTTTTCTTCAAGAATACTTCATTTCAGCTTTGTGTGTGTGTGTGTCTCCCCCACAGCCCTCTAAAGTGGCCGACTCTGTTAATCCAACACGGCTGCCATCTTTGTTTTTCACCTGAGACCACAATTGACTTGTGTCTTTTAGCCAATCCGAAGAGAGGGTCATTATCTGTCTTAAACCAATAGAACACTGAGCTCCACCTTCTCTGGGAGTTATCAGTACTGAAGTGTGCAGGTGAACTGTTTATCTGTAACTTATGTAACTCAAATCCTCTTAACAACAAACACAGAGAGAGTTTTTCTTTGTTATTGGATTTGTTATTTGGATTATTTTTGGAAGAAAACCCCTTAACGATTCTTACAGATATTACCTAATGATGCTAATATCGGGCCGATAATATTGCAAATCCAAATAATATTTGACCTCATTAATATTATGTAGGGAAGTCAGATAACATTTGCCGACTGATATCAATGCAACAATGTAATGTTTTACATATCAGTGTCAGTTTTCCTTACAACAATAAAAACATGATAAATAATGGATAGCTTGGATATCATGAAAATGTAAAAGTGAATGCGTGTGAGACGCTTATCGGTGCACGATTGATGATGTCATCAAACCATGCTGTGAGGCTTCACAACGAGCTTCTCCAATAGATGCCATATGCGTGTGGTTTGAAGTTATGTGGTTAGTGAAGATTGAATGACCCAGTGTTGTTTATCTATTAACACACATCTCACTCACTTTAACTCATGATTTTTCTTCTCATTAAATGTTATCTCCCTTGTTCTTGCCTTTGGCTGCTGCTCTTTGGTCCTTGCTGCTCTATTTTGGTTTGCTGGTCCCATGCAGTTCCCCGTTTTTAAGAGTTAGTTTTAAGAGCAGCACAACTAAAATTAAAACACTGCTGAGGTGACAGCTGTTATGTAATGGTTACTCTGCTCTGATGCGTGTCAGATGGTCTGTGATCTGAGCTTCCGCTCACTCTGCAGCCGCTGGGTTTATATACAGTGACTACATGACTGATGCGGTTTCATCCTGCAGGAGGAGGGCAGCAGATGAAATGATGATGAATCCTGTGGTGTTTTTGTAACTTTTGTAGCTGCGTGGTTGTTATAAAAGTGAACTCACCCTCTTTGAAAGATCATTGTAAACACAGATGGAGATTAGGAGAAATAATCCCTGTGGACTACAGTTGATTCTCTTGTGTGGTTCAACATTTGCTTTTTAGCTCTAATGGCTGATGTAGATTGTCGAGTCATGTGTGTGAGAAATGTACGTAGCTGCCACTGGTGTTGGGTACAGTTTTAAACTTTTTCTCTCTTTTGCTATTTGTTATGTGGCCCTTTATAAGTCGATGACAGATGTGAGCTAGTGAAGGAAAAACAGTCTTTTTTTTGTCATTTACCCATCTAAACAGATCTTTTGTTCAAATGCTGCTTGAGAAATTCTCGTTGGATATCAAACCAACACAGATGCGAAGCAGTTCACACATTTCCACCAAGGTAAATTCACTGATTTCTTTATTACAGTATACAGCAGGGGTTCTCCTTTGCAAACTAACAGACAATGCTACATAATATGTAAAGAAAGATCAACTTTTTAAATGTGTTTTATACTGTATTTTCTAACTTTTATTCCCTATTATATTCAGTAGTTAGTTCCTACGTATTTCGCAGCACCACCCTCCATGGCAGGACTGCTGGCCTCATTTTCTCATTCTCTCTATTTCTTCTCAAAAACCTGCTCATTTTGCGCTTGCTAGCTACACTCTAGCTTGAGTAACAGAGCAGTTTGATAATAGGTGCAAACCGAGCAGTCTACACTATTATGACATTGTCATGCTGAAGTTGCAGCTGTCACATGAAGTTTTTATGTGTTCTACAGTTCAGGACAGATGATAATATATTTAAAAAAATAATAATCTAATAATAATTCGATTTTTTTTCCTATTTTCTCCTCTCCTGGTGGCCCCCGAGGGACCACAGCGCCAACTTTAAAAAAACACACATAGTTACATTACCAAACCATTATGCAAGCCCCAATGACTTAGAGTAAATGCATAAAAAATGAATTATGAAAAAGCCTAATCTGCTGCTAATAGACTACAGCAGAGTTGATGTAAACATGAAGTCAGTATGTACCATTTCACTGACTGAGCAGTAATTTGATGGAAAATTCGCTTCAAAAACTCTCTTGTTTCTTCCCTTGTAAACCAATGTTCTGACAAGCGATGAGGCAGAATTCAACATCACTCATGGTATATCTTTATACCTGAGTTTAATGCAGCTGATGTTTACACATTGTTGACTTGACAATTACAGCAGTGGCACACAACTGGGAGTTTTCTGTAATTCAGTTGTTTCTCTTTAACCATCTAAACCGCTGTTCTGGGATTGGTTATGTAAGCTGTGTATTGCTGCAAAAGGCACGTGACATGCCATGATGTCCATCTTTGTTTCGGCTCAGTAGCGAGGATGATGATTTGTAAACTGAAATGAGGCCGAAACCCCTTCCCCCACCTTCCGGCTGTCCCTCAATCTGCCTGGAAATGACAAAGCAAAGCTGCGTGGGCGACGTGATCAGCAGTGGGTCACCCCGCCATGACTATGCCCTCTTCCCCTCCTCCTCCTGGTCCATCTTTCTCCTCATCCTTCCCTCGACATGGCTTAACCCCCACCCCCTAGTCCCTGCTGATCACGATACGAGTACTGACAGGAATGCAGGCGACCAAAGGCAAAACCTCTTAATCGGGAGTAACCCTCACCTTCACCCCTCCTTCCTACCTTACCCCACTTAAATCCCATCAGTCTTCACCACCTCATAAGCAAATATGCAACCACGTGATTTAAACAGAAAACACTCAGAACACACGTAAGCAGCAGCAGCACAGGGTTCGTGCTTTCGCTCGCATTAGTGAGGCCGTGTTCATGTTCAGGGCCTGTGTGTAAGTGTGATTGTGTGTATGTGTGTCTGTTGCGTGCATCCATGTGTATGTTAGTAGTTGTGGGGGTGGTACATGTACATCGCGTGTTCATTTACTGTGGTGCTCAGTGGTGATGGCGGCGCTGGGAGAGAGTTGACTGAGTTGAAATATTCTATATTTACTCACTGATGCTGCCATTAACACTCAGGCAGTATAATTAACATACATTAACAGTTGTGTTTGTGCACTGTGTTCTGCCACAGACAGGCTGTGTTTTTACATGATATGAAAAGCTGGCTGCAGACAATTAATAGAGACACAGCTATAGTGTTGCATGTTAAAGGTGAAAATCATGGACCTCAAACTGCCGACCATTGGCCAAAACTGGCCAACAAACCATCCAAGTGCATCCCACAACTAGATGTCTTTTAGTTGTTGTAATACGACCAGTGGAAACAACCCCCATGGTCATTCGTTCATGCATTGTTTAGGTCCTATGGCCTGGTTTAATTTTCTGACATCCTCTTTTTGCAGCTACTACGGTGTTAACATTAAGATCATTGAGGGTTACTTTTATTTCCACCTCATAGAAACAGCGTGAAATGTTTTTTCCCAAATCAGCTACTCTAGTTTTGGGCTGATCTTGAGCCAAACTATATACTGTATACAGCAAAATTGCCTCCAGCTGTTATTAGACATAAACTTTGCATGAACTCTGAAATGCTGAAGTTTGAAGTTCAGATGCAGTATTTCTGGGGCAGAATATTTTGTTTTAGATCATTCAGGCATTGCTTCAACTCCTCCACCTTCAACTCAGCCATTTAATTTGCCATTAGACAGAGCCAGGGTCTCTGCACCATACATCATAGCAGGTCTCACTACTGTACTGTAAACCCTTCCTTCAACCCTTCAGCTTTGCTGCTATTTAACATATTTATGTATTTAATTCCAATTTGAATTTATTAATGACATATAAGAGTAATTATGTGTTTATTTATTTAATGTTGGCACTTTCAGTCCTCCATATTAATCATCATAACATTTGGTGAAGTGAAAGAAGGAGAATGAAGAAAGGGAGAATAAATAACAAAACTGAATATGAGCCAAGCCCAGCTCACAAGTGGCTTACAACTGTATCAGCCGTGACAGGGACAGTTATTCTCTGTTTTCCTTTTAATCTTTACCACCTGTGGTTTGAATCTATTTTGGCCCAGATCCAAAACAAACCACATGGATTCCACTTCCCCTCCACTACATAACCAACTCAGCGCCATGTGGGAGTAGGCGTGCCCTTTCACATCATCGCACCATCAGCTCCAGCACAGCCGTGGGCAGCCTCTGTCCATAGTGGACCTGATTGCTCTGCCCACTCCCCCCTCCCCCTCTACCCTTTCCTTTCCACCTCAGGAGCTTAATATGCTGGGTTAATGCCATCCAAATATAGCACAGTTTCATGATTCAGACTCCTGCCTTTGTTAACACCATGCGACCTGACAGAAACAGAGACCTGCAATATGTGATGTAAACAAAGGAATAAACAAAAGTTTCAATGTTTGCTTTAATCCTGTGTTTACCAAACCATTATGAGCCATGGCATACATTTTACATAAGAAGACCCCTCAGCACACAACAAAAATGTCACAGAAACATATGTATTGTAATATTATGATCTTGTAGTTTCAGTGTACACAGTTTAGTTGAATACAACACTGATATAGGAAGGAATTGAAGAAAGAAAATCTGCTCTTTTTTATTTTATATAGCCATATGCTGCTTCTTAGTGGAATAATAATATTTAATTTGCCTCTCACAGTTGCAACGACAGACAAATACAAATTATTTGTAGTAAACAAATAACAGTTGTCATAAATTGGATAATTTCCAAGGTGCATGATTTTTTATAGAAATAGTCATTTTATTAACCATGCATTTAAGGATTAAAACTAAAAGACATTTAAAATATATAACAATACATTTTATAGTATATATATATATATACATATATATATGTAATTTTATTATACATATGTAAAGTAGCAGAACGTACAGTTGAAATTTGAAGATAGCTCTGTAATTTTAGAGCCTTGTCTACATGGGTGCAGAAGCAGTGAAAATGAACTTGTTAAACAGAGGCAAAGGGTGTTCTCAGTGCACAATGAGGTCAGAGTCACTGATCTGTCCATGTCAAATAACGTCAATGCAACGTTGTGACGTTTACAATTGTTGACCATTAACTTTTGGCTTAGATCAATGTATGCCGAAGCCACACTGGTTTGGCTGGGAAACGCCCACAGCAGCAGCATTCCTTTTCTACTACATCTACATGTGATGTGATGGCAGTGGGAATAAGTGCTGTCTTCATTATGTGTCCACTGAAGCCTGATAACAAGATCTGCTCTTTGTCCTCCTCTGGCTTCACCACGTTGGCCTTCTTTTTACTGGCTGGATTACAGAACTGATGACGCTGCTACTGCTGCTGCTGCTGCTGCTTCTGTCTGCATACAGTACTGCACCTGCACTGTGTGTCGTTGACATTAAAAGAGGAAACAGAAAGTTTTTTTTCAAATAAAGAAAATTGAAAAATACTTACAATATTATAGTAAATAGTAAAGTTAAAAAAAATATATCACATAAAACCATGTGAAAACCAGTGCAGATGATTTAATCCAACTATATGCATTTATAGTCCAATTGATTTTTGTTAATACGGGACATAGACGTCAAGGTGTGACACCAGAGAAAAGTCTAAAACATGAACCAGTTGATTGTTTTGTCACCACCTTGTTGAGCTCTGCTCAACACCAATGTTTGTGGGTCACAAACGTTCCTCTTAACACACCCACCATATGTGAGTCAGATCTCCCTTCAGTTGCCACGGATTATGTCACACACCCTAAAAGATGATCCCTGATGTCTGTATGGGAATAAGGTCAGGGGGTGTCCATCCAAAGTCCCTTCTCATGTGAAGATACAGCCCACCTCGAGCTTGCACACAAAGCCCATATGCTCCACGGGGTCTGCTCTGACACTCATGACAAGGCCCCGCCCCTCCAATGGACTTCTTGTTAACCTGCATCGCCGACAACAAAAGACCTAACCCAGAACCCCGCTTGGCCATCATGTTATACTTCACCTTTAGGGTCAGAGGTCTTCATGGGTCACAGCGCGGTGCTCCTGCAGGGGTCAGAGATCAATGTTCCTGACCACTGCACTCATTCTCATGACATCATTACACCTCATTATCTCACACCTTAAACTGAGAAAATGTGACGGTTAAAATTAGCTGTGACCATCAATACAGTGTTTTATAGTCAGCTGACCTGCATGTGTTTGAGCTAAAAACGAAATAAAAAAAGATTTTCTGTTATGGTTACAACTGCATAGAGAGACAAACCTGATACAAAAATGTGTTGACAAGATCAGAATGATTGCGATCAGTCCAAAGACTGGCTTTGAAACCAAGGAAACATTTTGTAAATAATTAATCCTCAAAGTAAATAAAATAAATAATAAACCTATACGTTTCAATGACAGAGACTTCTTGATTAGTTTTTCATTTTTTTGGCTAACTTTTAGTTATTTTTAAATTTACCTTCCTCTATCTCTTGGTTAAACTTCTGGCTGACTTGTAACTTCATATATAATATCTATATAAAATTATACCTGGTTTATGTCGCCCCTTTTCTTTTGAGATAATATTTTAACACAATTGATTTATAATTATAATAATTAAAATTTTGATTGTCTTTAACTTCTAACAACTATCTGTTATCCTTTGGCTAAAATCTATGCATTGGCTAACGTTGTAGAAAACTTTTCTGCTAAATCAACTTTTCTCAGCTAAGCTTTATCTCAGTTGTCACCCCCCCCCCCCCCCCCCCCCCCCCCCCCCCCCCGCCCCCCCCCCTCCCCCTCCCCCCTCCCCCCCCCCCACATGATGACGACTTCAAAACATCAAAAGGTTCAGAGGCCAGGATTCTTGAAGGTGAAATGCTGCTGCAGGTGAGTGCTGGGACATCTCTTATTTCACTTCCAATGTTTTATTATTGAATTAATTTAAATATGAGGTTTATATACAGATGAAGGTGATGAAATCCCTAGTGGTGAAAGTACAGTGAGTGTGGGGAGGGTTAATTTGACTGATTTTAATTAATCACTTAGACGTGTTTGTTTGCAAACAGGAGGCCAAAACCATTTTAGGCCAATGGGATAAGAGGCTCAGGTTAGATTGTAGGTCTGACTGCTGGACACTCATCAGCAGCAGTCAGGAGTTCTGAACAATAATGTCAAGGCCTTCCAGCCGGCCCAGAGTTATGTTAGTGATTTGAGTGATTGGATTGGATGGTCAGAGAACGCACTTGAATCTAGGAAACTTCACCTAGTGACTTGCTTATTAAGTTTTCACTGTGTTCACTGCTTCTGTTGAGTGGATAATCTCACCCTGAAGCATATTAAAACATATGCTGTGTGTCTAATAAAGACATTATTATATGTGTTATTTGACTTTGTTAGTTATAAAACAAAATTATGTTAGGGTTATGGTTGGGGTGTTAAAGCCTAAGGTTTAAGGTCAAACTTTAAACACATTTCAAAGTCTGGTAAGTGCAACAGCAGATGAATTCAAACAGCCCAAATAGTCACCTAATTGGGTATAACTGACAAAAAGTCATAGTGTACCATTTGTCTGCCTCTATTCCCTCCTGTCTGGCTCTTCTGTGTAATCAGTGTCATCACCTGTTCTCTGTGATTACCTGTTCGATAGTCTCATTTGTTTCACCTGCCTCTCTTGGGATACGTTTACTCACTCTGTCAAACACACAAACTCAGTTTGTTTTTGCTTGTATGATGAGCCATTGCATGTTGTTCTTTGTTTCTGCGTGTGGTCTATTGCTTTCTGCTCTCATTTCTCCTTGGTTCCTGCCTGGTCTGCATTTCTTTGTTTTCCTGTGGATTGCCTAGCTGGAGGTTTTAAAGTTTGGACTTTTGGAAGTAAACTTTCTGCAACTGATGGTTGTTTCTCCAGTACTGTATGAACCTTTTTTTGTAAATGACGAGATAAGAGGAAAATCTTTTTTCCTCTCAAAGGGAAAAAGCCCCTTTAAAAGATGTTCATTAGATTTTGCAGTAGAAACAGAGATCAGGGAGAAAAAATATCCTGCTTCATGTCAGTGTTTCCTCCATCTGTACTTAACTGTATGTGATTGGGTAGAGCGTGAACTCAGTGGTCGGCAGTTCTTTTTGGATTCATAGATTTTCCAGTCCAGTTCCTCACAATGTGCTCCATACTGACATACCAACAGAGGAGAAGAAACTGCCCGATCGTCATTCCCGGACCCTGGCGGGGAATAGGGTTTCATTATTATGATAAGGGCACATTTCCTCCAGCTTGTTAGTAATGAGAAATGAAAGCTCATTTGTAGCAATGGACTCAGTCAGGGCGTAGCGGTTCCACAGGGGGCCTGGGGTTGATGATGAAGAAGGACCGTAAGGTGGAGAAAGAACCAAGAGGCAGAGTCCTAATAAAATAATGTACTCAGAATAGAGACGAGTGGACATGGTTAATGCTGCTGCTATGACAGAGTAATCTTCCTCATCAACATGCCTTTACCGAATGAAAGCAAAGCCGTCTTTGTCATACAGCACGGCATGAATATGTATTCATCCACTCTCTTCGCCACCTAGTGCCTGTGCAAAATGTGTTCTAAAGTTGTACGTCTGAATAAAATTATCAATATATTTATGGGAGATGGCAACGTAACCACAAAAAGCTGTTGTTGAGGATGTTATTTACTAAGAACGCTCTGTATTTTATGACAGATAATTGCTCTGTAATTGTACTGTACAGCCAAATCTGCACAGAAGAAAAAGGGACAGCATTTTCTTACCTCAAGAAAAGAAAATTACTGGCGAGGTTTTTTGCCCACAGACCATTACTACTTTGTTATATCATAACAAAGTGCAAGTGTTTATTCAACAACAAAGTTGTGTTTTATAACCAGAAGTAACTGTTTTGAACTTACAGGCTCTGAATGGATTCATCCTGGTCATCACTGCCAGTGGAACCATCTTCTACTCCTCTCACACCATTCAGGACTACCTGGGATTTCATCAGGTAAGATAGTAATAACAGCCTCTGTCTATAAACCTCTATCACCATCATGAAGTTCCAATATGAACCATCTTCTCAAAAACATATGAAAGGACTGATTCCTGCAACTGTACTAATTGAAAGGAGTGCTCGGATCATCTAAGATGTGGACTAGGAAGACATTGACCTGGGACAACTTCACTTCATCAACTGTCCACAGCTGATTAAATACATTGTGTTGAAGGAGCATGGGGTCTAGACAGAGTGAAAATTAAGCTGGTGTTCGTCACATGTCAGTCATCATGCTTAAATAGTCCAACTAATGTTTCAGCTCTTGGCCCAGTAGCACTAGCAAAAACCAACATTTAAGCACCTTAGCAAACAAACAGACTGTACACAACTAAACCTAAGTTAAGTCTTAATCCTGAATTTCCTTGAGCTTGAGTAGAGATGCTCTTGCAAGCTTTCACCTATGGTTGGCTCTATTGTATTTCAGTTATGTTAACTGTTCACTCTGAATTGTTGTTTGTTTTTGTTTGTGGCACTCACCTAATGACTGATGGGATTGGCCTCAGCCCACGCTAACCTTGAAAAAGGATGAAGTGTAGAGATGTGATCATCAGCTGGCAGGCAAACCATCCAATCAAGCCCATGACTGGATTAGAAAATAAACATCACGTAGTCATTTTAGACATCATTCCATTTTATTTAAGTGTCCAGCCCCAGAAGAGTCTGGCCCACAGCTCATATTCTGCATCACTAGTATTTGAGAAGTTACCTTAGATACCACTGCAATATGGAAAATAATAGTTCATTCTTCTTCTCAGACTGATGTCATGCACCAGAGTGTGTATGAACTTGTCCACACCGAAGACCAACAGGAACTCAGGAGGAACCTACACTGGGCTTTGAACCCACCTCCTGTCGCTGCAGCTGCTGGTAATCAGGACTCTCCACAGGGTAAGTGTTCTGACCCTTTAAATGGACTTACGAGAACTGATTAAACCCTATCTGAATCAGAAACATCCAGTTTATTGCTTTATGAAACCACATAAAGGTCATCAACAATTGGGCAGAAATCATTTGATTCATTGCAAATAGTGCAACACAACAAATATGAATCTCCTGAGTATCAATACAATGACACTTGTTTGAGTAGTAAACAGCACTGTAGGCTCAGTTTATGCATAAGACTGTAAAACCATCCTGAGGTCAGGTCACATGACCCTGAAATCCCCACTGTGGCTTTTCAGGTGAAGTGGTCCATGATCTGTATTTGTATTTTAAGATGCTTATGGCAGTTGTTCGGCTTCTGAGCAGTGTGAAGTCTAAGAACTAAGGTCACAACATTCTTTGACGTATGTTGTGACTTCTCCAAAAGATGATTTCACCTCAAAAATATATATATTATAATTTGTTGTTGGAAAAAATTATTGTTCCAAGAGTCAAAATTTTAACCAACTCCCAATTTTCTTACACTTTTTAACCTCAGAGATAGAGGCTGAGAGCAGCACATCAATAGTCACCTACAAACCTGAACAGCTTCCCCCAGAGAATTCGTCCTTCCTTGAGAGAAGTTTTATGTGTCGTTTTCGATGTCTGCTGGACAACTCTTCAGGCTTTCTGGTATGTTTCATCTATTTATCATCTCCCAAAACATTAAAAACACCAAATAGAAAGACACCTACCTCCAGTCGAGAGTATAGTTTTTGGTATGAGCTCCTCAAGTTCCTCAAACCTTTTTGGCTTGTTCTGCCGGCACAGCAAAAACATGGAGAATATTTTTTATCAATTATGCAGGTAATCAAGTTTTTTATAGAAATCTTTAAGACATATTTACATTATTACATCTGGAGAAAATGTATAATAAACAGGTATTGTTTAAAAGTCATTTCTGAAACCTTTCAGGCACTAAACATCCAGGGCAGACTGAAGTTTCTTCATGGTCAGCACAATCGACAGGAGAATGGAGGAAAGGTTCCCTCACAGCTGGCTCTGTTTGCTATCGCCACTCCTCTGCAGCCTCCGTCCATTTTGGAGATCAGGACCAAGAACATGATCTTCAGAACCAAACACAAACTGGATTTCACACCAATGGCTTGTGATGCAAAGTAATAAACTGACAGGGACTTGACTGTAGTTCAAGCAGAGATACAAAATTACAACAACAACCAATTAACAATTAACTTACTAATGTTTTTTTGCACAGGGGGAAGATAGTGCTGGGTTACACAGAGGCTGAACTGCGAGTACGTGGTTCTGGCTACCAGTTCATTCATGCAGCGGATATGTTGCACTGTGCAGAAAATCACGTTAGAAGTAAGTTGTGTCACCACAAAGATTTTTTTATCATCTTGCTCTTACATCCTTTAATAAAAGTGTAGAAGCTACAAATATTCCAAGTCCTAGAACATGATTTAAAGACTTGATAAGAATGATATCTAAACCTCAAAGTAGTTTCTAAGGATCATTGTATGTATTATGAAACAGGTTTGTCACATTATTTTCAGTATAAATGACCTTGACAAGGAGATCTGGTCAGAGAGTTCAGACAGCTTTTATAAATAATCCTGCGGGATTACACAGCAGGTTAAGCCAAGCTGCAGAGCTACCAGAAAATAGGATAGTGCCCGCAAATCCCCGTGCATGAGCAAAACATGAGAGATGATCCATGCGGCAGTAATGAAAACAAACATTTCAGAGGTCTGGTGTGTCACTGTCACTAGAGCACCGGGGTTAGTTTGGTTTTACTATCATTCTTAAATCTGTTCTGCATTAATTAATATCACAGCAGTGTTAGCACCCATAACAACCATGATGTTAGCAAAACACAACTACGATATTAGCATTAAAAAACAACTATGATGTTAGCTTACATTTGTCAGACATTTTGATACTAACTGAACTGAAAATGTGATGTCAGATAACAGTCCACACCTTGAGAGACTCTTTGAACTGACATTGACCCTAACTATAACTGTGTTTTTCTTCGATGATTGTAGTGATGAAGACCGGAGAGAGTGGTCTCACTGTGTTCAGGCTCCTTACCAAGGAGAACCACTGGAAATGGGTCCAGGCCAATGCTAGACTGGTGTACAAGAATGGGAAACCAGACTACATCATTGCCACCCAGAGACCACTCCTGTACGATTCTGTTTCTTTAACCTTTTTGTTTTTCAAGTTGTTTTGACGATTATCGCCTGATAAAAGCCATCTTTTCTCATTTAATAGGGATGAAGAGGGAGGAGAACATCTGCGGAAGAGGTCCATGCATCTGCCCTTCACGTACGCTACAGGGGAGGCTCTGCTCTACCAGTCGGCTCATCCTATCCCAGGGTTTGGAGAAACAAGCCATGACAAAAATGGCATGAAGTCAAAAAAGAGTAGGACTGAAAGGCTGCTGAGGGATGGTCTGGACCCTGGTTCACTACTGGGGGCACTTATGAGTCAAGATGAGTCTGTGTATGTTTGTCAGCCTGCCCTGGAGCCCAAAATGTCCTTTCACAATAGCTTCTTTGAACAAATGGGCTTCTCCAACCCTGAACAGTCCAGTTTGCACAACAGCTGGGATGAACCAAACAGTGCAGTGCTGGGATCAAACATTACAGAGCCAAACATCAGCTTTGATCCACTGTTGGCAACACTAGACTCTCTCTCCCTGGAAAGCCAGGGTGTGGTGGATGCGCAAGATGGAAGTTGTTCTAACGGTGAGCTGTTCGGTGCGCTGGAAGGGTTGGGCCTGACTGCAGAAGACCTGGAGCTGCTGCTGCTGGATGAGCGGATGATCAGAGTGGAGATGGACCTCGAACGTGTGCCCACTTTAGATGACCTGCTCACCAACGATGAGATCCTTTCATATATTTATGACTCATTGGAAGGAAAAGCTGAGTCTGCAGAGAATGGAGGACACGTGCCTAACAGCACTGCCCCAGTGACAGTCACCACAACGTCCCTTCCAGAGAGTATTCCTAACAATAACAGTAACATTCAAATGCAGCAGCCTCACCACAGGCCTCCTCTGGTTGGACAGTCTCCGATACTACAGCTGTCCCAACAGATGCAACAACATCTCAACATGCGGACAAGTAAAATGGTACAGGACTGGGGCCAGCAGAGCGACCATTTGACCAACACTATAGCCCATAGGGAGCTGCAGGGACAAGGCCAACCTATTGCTAATGGACAGTGGTCGACTCAAGACATTCCAGCCACTGTAGACATAGGGTTGAAACACTGCAACACCCAACAGACTCTTTTTAATGGAAAGGACTCTAAACTTGAACACCAGCAGTTAAGACATCGACCATACTTTCAGCATCAGCAGCAGCCCAGGATGCAAAACCAGCTCCCACAGCAGGACCATGTCACCCATAATGCAGCTCACCTTAACGGGGTGTGTGGTATTTCCAGCGCAGAGCATTCAGCTGGTAGATCACAGTGGCAGGACTATGGATTTAATGAAAGTCTGTGCAGCAACTCTTGCCTTGACAACAGCCAAAAACCTATAATAAGTACCTCAGTAAGTTCTTGCAGGGATTACAGTGTACCTGGTATCCAAAATACAGAGTACTCTCTCAATGGAAGCAGTATGTTTGGAAGAAACAGGCAACACCATGTGGCCGAGTGTGCGGTCCCTTCCTACCAGGGAATGACCCACCAACGGCTGCAGGACCAGTTCTCAGTTCCTATAGCCCAGGTCATCTCTGAACTGTCACAGTGCCCTCCCCCCAACACTTCCCTGGAGCAGATTCTAGGAGTGGGCAAGTCCTGTCAGCAGCTAGACCACTACGGCATGGTAACCATGGAAATCCCAGATCCCAACCATAGCAAGGTAAGTCTATGAAGACATTTTTGTACTATCAGCATACCAGTTAGAGCAGTGGTCTCTAACCTCTTTTGGCCTGTGACCCCATTTTGACATCACACATTTCTGGCATCCCCAGAGACAATTTTATTTCTATAATAGGTTCATTTGTTGTTATGCTGTGTTGCAAATACAGAGTGGACAGATTAGTGCACAACATTACATTTATTTCCCCGATCACATGTACAATTTGACAAACCTGTTTATAAAAGGCAGGAAAATAATACTGAACAAACAATGAGTTATGAATAAAGAGTTACTGCAGCACAGATTCCATTATAGTGCTTTAGTTTCAGCTTCAGTTTATCCAGTATTTTGTGTATTATTATTGTCTCTCCTCCAACCTGACCAACCAGTCATTTATCCATTGATCTTTTATATTTTAGTTTTTTAGTCTTTTTGTCTTCATCTATTAACTATTAATATTCTAATATACCACTGTTTCAATTGTGCAGATAGAAAATGGCTGCATCCTGAACACTGCATACCCAGGAGGCTGCGCTCTACCCAACGGCAATGGAGCAACGCCCTCTGCTGTTCAAATGCCCGGACCTGACACGTTGTCCAGCCTCCCTGATCCACCAGCCACAGGTTTCTACCTTTGACCTTCTGACCTTCTGATTTTGTACAGACAGCTGAGAACCACACATGACTGGAGCAGCCTTATAAACAACAGCACATTGTAACAGATGAGTACAAGAAACACTGATTCCCTTAAATTTTCATCAGATTCTTGTTTTTTCTTCGGAACAGAAGACAATCATCGTCTTCTCTTCTAACTTAGATCATATGAATCCACCGTTTACAGTAACACAGTCAAGATGCTGATTTCATTTTATTTAACACAGAGTAAAAAGACTTGAGCCGAGTATTCCAGAAACCATGTGAAGAACAATACAGTTCATACAGTAAAGACATGTTAGATATTTTTTATTAGGAATGAATTCTAATTGTAAAGTATTCCAACTCGAGTGGGATAATTTAATTGATTAGAGAAAACTGAGGTGTCGCTGCAGAATTTACCCTGAAATGCAAAACATTATGTAAGTCACATGGTAACTATCATGGCCATTTGATTAGAGTCTTAGCTGTCAGTTGGAAAAAATCTTCCCTTGCTTTGTATGTGAGTTCACAGCCGTCAGCATCTGTAAACCTTCAGGTTAATTTTAACAGCACTGTTAGTTTTTCTTTTTCATCATGGAACAGAATGTAAGTCTTTTATTCCTCCATTTATTTCCCTCCCTGGACATTTTTTTCTTGTCACCAATGAGATTCTGTCATAAATGTTTTATTATGACTAGTATAATATCCTGCACTTTATTTCAAAACACACATTTGAACAGATCTTTTTTTTTCTGTGCGGGGGCTGATGATGTTAATGTATTTCTTCTGCTGAGGTTCATTTCATGTGATGCTGTTTTAAATGTTCTCACGGGAACACTGTGATCATTTTACAACTCGCTTTACTTGAAATAATATTTTCAGTACTACAGTATTTGTTATGCTAATGTTGACAACCATGGAGCTCAGGATGAGTTTATTGTCCTTTTTTTCATTGACTTTGACTTGAGTAGGAGAAAAGTTTACGTTGTTTTTACAGTACTGTGTTTCTTCATGTACTTCAGGGGAACTGTGTATGATTCTAATTTTTCTGAAGCTCCGACTCTGTTTGAGTTTTGAACAGGAATTACTGCTGAATGTGACTGGATGAAGATCAAACTGTGTGTGAGTTTGCTCTCCTTACACTGTTAGAATGCATTATGATTCAGTTTTTCCATTTTATATTACAGGATGATGAACAGATATTATGACCTTGTTACTCGTGTCCCATAACCACAGAAATGACCGTATTTGAAGGAAATAAATCTACGGCATCTATTCTGTGAGTGCAGGGATTTTTAAATGCAGCTGTTGTTGTTGAGATCACATGTGTACTGTATAATGCAGCAGTATGAATCTGAATCATCAATATGGACACATTCAAACCGTATATCACCTAATAAAGGAGCACTAGCTTTTTCAAAGGGCGTTCCTTAGTGCATTACTGTACCTTTTACCACTTGGCTGCTGACGACAATACATATACAAATATACATTTAATGAAAATATAAAATCAGCCATGTCTGGGCATGTTTGGTTCAGGTTGGGACAAAGGTTGGGACAAAGGCTCATTTTGACAAACATTTACTTTAAGGCACAACACCGTTTGTTTTACATTTTATCAGGTTGCATTACGTAAGATCTTGTACCGGATACAGAACATAAACCAAATGTGAAAACAATATATCTGTACTGAGAGAACACAGCTCTGAATGTTTCTTGTACAAAGTAAAGTCATTTATCTGAGGGGGGATCAAAAGAATTGCTGAAAAGAGATTTCCATTTTCTTGTTGAAACAATGTTTGTATACTGTTATTTGAATTAGTAGTCGCTGGATGTTTTATGTTCAGATGTGAAAATCAAAAACGTGGTTTGAATTGCATTTTCGCTTTTTTCTACAGCAGAATTGTTTGTTATATATGATATGGGTGATGTGACGTTTAAAAAAAGTGTGAATTTAAAAAAAGAGCAAGTGTATAAAAAGGACAAATCAGCATTGAATTGTCTTACAGTAGTTTTACGTCACTATCAAGCACTGTTTTTCTTTTTCTTTTTTTTCTTTTTTTGTAAATATTCTGACCACCACACACCTGAATCTGTGACGACCTGAAACGGTGCCATACTGCTGAGATACTGACAATGGAGAAAGTATTTTACTTTGCCGTCTGTGTAGCCACTGTACTGTTAACAAGGACAGAGGTGTTAATGTTGTAGACTGGACCCATGTCCTCTGACTTGACTGCTTGTTTCAAATGTATAAAGGTTTTTCTTCTTTTACCTTTGAAATAAAGGATTTCTCTAATCACATGGAGAAGTGTTGTCAAAATTCATCCAAACTTTTTAAAGTGTAGAGACTTGAGACAACATTTTAATCCAGATTTTATCATTTCGTTTTAATCATTTTATGATTACTTTATTGCCTGCCATTCAATTTTTTTTTTATTATATTGTTTACTTGTGATATTCTTGTTATTGAACTGGAAAGATGATCCAAAACTGTACTGATCTAATTCCTACTGTCATTTTAACTGTCAGAGTGAAACAGGGAAGTGTCACTTTGAGTCTCTAGAGGGCAGCAGTGAGGCTCGGTTGTGGTTAAAGAAGTCACAGTCCCTGTTTCTGCAAAGACACGCGTTGACGTATTGTTTTCCAAACAGGGGAGGACAGAAAGGGGGGACAATGAGACCGACTGCAGCCTGGGGGACATTGTCACAGACAGGCGGAGGCTGCAGACACATTTAGGAGAATAACCAAATGGTCTGAGTCCAAGTGAAGTCTGTGGAGAAAGAAACTAGTGCTGCAGCTGTCACCACAGTTGGTAACACTGTGGTTTCCATGGAGGGAAACAGAGCAGAGAAAAAAGGGGAAAGAAAGCCCTGAGATGAAGAACGAGAAGAACAGGCAGCATCCTGGTTGACATATAATTCAACAATGACAGTGTTCCATCTGTCCACTGTCTTGTAGGTGAGACTATTTTTATGGCAAAACAGAAATAAAATATTCTGAGGTCACTGCATTTAGTCGTCAAATTTGGTTTATTTAAAATTTGATATGGAGTATGCAAGGGATAATAATAATAATAATAATAATAATAATAATATAATGCTGCTTTACTGAACCGTGAGTTGTTTCTGGAAGTTCTTGACTGACAGTCACACAGAGGTGTGACGTCAGTGGTAACAAACACGTGGGTAGATCAACAAGGCAGAACATGGAGACATGCAGAGAGCAGGAGTATGGAGCGTTTAATGCTTGAAGTACCGACATTGCTTTGAGTGTGACTCTGTAAAAAAAAAAAGAAAGAAGGTAAAAAACATTCGTGTCCGCTGTACACTCAAACTTCAATCTACAGCGAAGAATGACAGCTTAAATTTCAGCAGGCATCTAGCAGGTCGCCCTCAGGAATGTGACAGGAAGTCATTGAGAACCCACCGGACGGCC